CATGCGGCTGCGGGGCCCGCGGCCCGGAGCGTCCGCCAAGCCCTGAGAGAGGTAAGCGCGAGGGGAGGGTCCGGCCAGGCAGGGGGCTCCGCGCTAGACCACTCTCAGCCGGAGTTGGGGCTCCGGGAGGTTAGAAGGGCTCCAGGAATTGGATCCTGGGGGTTCCGGTGTCGGATTTGGGAAGGTTTGGGTGGATTGAGGGACATTTGGGCCTGGTGGATCCCGGAGGACCGGGGTCTGAGGGTCCGTGCGGGAGTTAGAAAACAAACTCGTGGTGTTTGAGTTCTGGGATCATCGCCACTGGGCAGGGTCTAGACAGGGTCTTTGGGGAAGGCGGTAATCGATAAAGGCGGAGGGCCCAGGCCGGGAGTCTGGGAAAGGGTCCCTAGAAAAGCGGAGAGTTACGGTCTGGGAGATGGAGTTTTGACTTGGGTTTTGAGGAATGAAACTTCAGCCATTCAAATATCCAGATCGCGCAAACGCTGGGGTAACAGCCCAGAAGGAGATTCCAGGCCTGGTAGTGGTGGAGGTGGGGGTGTCCCAGAGGAGGAATGGCTGCAGATCCAGAGCTCGGAGTGGGTCAGGTAGAAAGAGGATGAACTGGATGGGAGAAGGGTTAATGTGAGAAGTGAGGGGAACTGGAAAGGTCCAGCTCTCCCACCGTGAGTCCAGTCGGAGGAGCAGACCCGGAGGCTGAGGTCAGCTACCTGGACCGAGACAGTCCAGTGACTGGGTGACAGGGTGGATAATGCTTGTATGAGCCGAAGACTGGAAGCGGAGCAGGCAGCTGGCGGTCAAGCTTCAGAGCTACGTGAAGGGGGAAGGGAGGAAAAGCTAGCCAGAGCTCTGACAGAATCTAGATCTTTGGGTCGTCCACGAGGCTGAGGTTGGAAGCGAGGAGTTCTGGAGGCTTGAAGTGCGGGGATGTGTGTGGGGGGTTTGACTCTGACTCTAGGGTCTCACTGGGATGAGGTGGATTCCTAGTGCTCACAGAACTATGAGGAAACGTGGAAAGTGGAGTCTCATGTCATCTTTATTGCTCTGTTGGGGAAATGTTTGGGGGAGGTGCCTCAAACTTTATAATGAAAAAAACATGATGGGTAGGAGCTGGAAAGATGGCGGTTCAGTTGTTAAGAACACTTGCTGCTCTTCCAGAAGACTGGAGTTTGGTTCTCGGCACCCATATTAGGTGATTCACAATTGTCTGTTACTCCAGTTCCAGAATATCCATCACCTCTGGCCTCTCTTCCACCCGGATCTCTCAACTTTGGCCTTCTCAGGCACCTGCATTTTCCTGAACATACCTGTGCACGCGCGTGTACACACACACACACACACACACACACACACACACACACACCCCTACACAGATTTTTTTAAAAAGGGGAATGAGTGCCTCTGGTCATAGAAGACTCTGGCTGAGGTAAATTGGGGACACCAAGATGAGTGCTGCATGGCATTTTGTGACAAGGAAGGATTTCTTGTGCGGCGATTGGGGGTGTAAGTGTAGATAAAGAATTTGGGGGCTGTTGAGATGGCTCAGGGGGTAAAGGTGATTGCTTCTGAGTGTCCGGCCAGTCTAGCTGATGACCTCAGCTAGACCTCTCAGACTCATATAGGGAGAAGAAAGAACCAACTCTCGAAAGTTGTCTTCTGACCTTCTCTCGAGTGCCATGTCTCTCTCTCTCTCTCACACACACACACACACACACACACATACACACACACACACACAATACATACATAAAAAAGATTTTGGGAGCCTTCAAGACCCTCCCTAGTTAGCATTTCCAAGCTCCTAATTGGAATTTGGGGGGTCTCACATATAAACTGACTAGGTATTTCTTGCTTGGAGTAGAACTTGACTGGAAAGTTCTAGCATGGGAAATCAGGGTCCAGAGTTTGGCAGAATTTGGGGAATGGGGTGGGGTGTACTGGAATTCCTGATAGAATTGTTAGTTCAGAGTGCTGGTTTCTTGTTTGCAGGATGCAGGACCTTGGTTTTACTGGAGTTCTCTGGTTGAGAATGCTGGGTTGGAGGGGCCCAACTCCAGCTCTTGGTAGTCTAGAATCTCCAATCCAGGTCATAGCTTCAGATCTCTGGGCTCTAATGTCCTGGAACAAATTCCAGCACCTCAGGTTCAGGGGCATGCCTGGATCTGGAAGGGTAGGATTAAGGTTTGGATCTGAGATTGTACAACTGATTTGACCCCAACCTAGGAAGATGGCTCAGAGGGTAGAGCATTAGCCACGGAAGTGTGAGGACCCGAGTTCAGAGTCCTAGAACCCACATAAGGCTGATCGTGGTAGCATGTATCTGTAATGAAAGCATTTCTATGATGAGATAGGAGATGGAGAGAGAATCTCGGCTCAAATTTGTATGGCAGCTAGCTTGACATGCAGGTGCAGACAAGAGGTGCTATTTCAAATATGGTGGAAAGTGACAGACACCTGAGGTTGTCCTCTGATCGCCACAGACGTCTCCTCGCACTCATACACGTGAACACACACACACACACACACACACACACACACACACACACACACGCAGACACGCAGACACACAGACACACAGGGGTGATTTTAAAAAATTACAGCTGAGTGTCAGGGTGAAGATAAGCGTCTAAGAGTGTCAACATAAGCATCTAAGAGTGTCAACCCAGGAGGAGGACTGTGCTCCAAGTCTCACATAGGCCTAAAGTCAAGGGTGGGAGTCCAGGGTATGGGGTTAGGGAGCCTTGAGTGGTGACCTACTTTGGGGAATATCGGATGTGCTTTAGAGACAGGTTCTACAGGAAACATTTCAATATACAGGTCATAGCACAGAGTTAAAGCTGGGTAGCATGGGATAGAATTTCCGAATAAATCAAGTTGTCCATAATTCAGTGTCTAAATCTAGTACTCCAGTTCTGCTTAAAATGTGATAGCAGGTCTTTTGTGGGGGGTGGTGTCTAGTGCTCACAGCTGGGGGCTAATCAGGGCACAGAGTCAGGGTTGAGGTGTCAGGTCCAAATTTGAAGCTGTTGATTAGGGCAGTTTCTGAGTCACTGGCTTACTTCAAAGGTTAAAGACTCTGCTAAGGTCTGGCTTCTCAAATTGGGTTGCAAGCCAATATTGGAAGTTGGATCTAGGGGAATCTGTCTTGGGTTGATAATTTGGATTTGAATCAGAATCCTGATACTTTGGATTTCTGGTCTAGACATGGCTCAAGTCAAGAGTCATCTTCAGGTCTGACTTAAAGACTGTGGCTGCATGTCTTATCTCAAGTTGAGGATCTGTATCCATGAGGACAGAGCACAGTGATCCGTCAGGGAAGTCCAATATGGAGGTTTGGAGTCAACATTCATATCTCTGCTCAGAGTTCAGGGCTGGGATGGTGGGTCACTGCACAGAAATCACACTTGGGAGTTTGGTTTTGGAGGTTCTGTCTCTGAGCAGAGCTAATGTCCCAAATGGCTGCATGGAGCTGGGGACCCTGGGCACGCTCTACTGTAGCTTCTGGTTCCACAGGCCCCGCAGGGCGCCCCCCGCCGCTCAGGATGAGTCACTGCAGCAGCCGCGCCCTGACCCTGCTGAGCAGCGTGTTTGGTGCCTGCGGCCTGCTTCTTGTGGGCATCGCAGTGAGCACGGACTACTGGCTGTACATGGAGGAGGGGACCGTTTTGCCGCAGAACCAGACCACCGAGGTCAAGATGGCGCTGCACGCTGGCCTCTGGAGAGTCTGCTTCTTTGCAGGTGACCCCCCCTCACCTGCCCTCACTCACCCCAAAGTCTTTATCTGTAGTCATATGTCTTAGACTCCGATAATCCAGAAGTTGTTTCTATTTCTCTCTTAGAAGTTAAATTTCAGCACAGAATCCTCATGCTTACCCCTTTATTCCCTAGATATTGAAGCGCAGATACTCAAAATCCATGTCTCTAACATTTCCCCCACTCCGAAGAACTCTGTTAGAAGTCGTAAGACTAGGGTCAGGAGATGCTTCAGTGGATAGTGTGCTTAGCATCATTCTGATGACCCGAGTTTCATCCCCAGACCCACATGGGTGGAAGGAGAGAATCTGTTCCTGAATGCTGTTCTCCAGTTTCCACACTTGCACACTGGCATGCTCACACCTGTGTCCCTTAATAATTTTTAAAGTGACAAAAAAAAAAAAGTCAGAATTCTAGGGCTAGAGCTGTAGGAAGCCCAATTGGTCAAATGCTTGTTTAGCACACAGGAAGTCCTGAGATCGACCCCTGGAACTTCATAAATTACATGCAAGGGTACATGTCTATAATCATGGCATCTGGGAGATCAGAGGCAAGAGGATCAAGGTCATCCTCAGCTATGGAGACAGTTCAAAGCCAGCCTGAGATACACAAGTCTGTCTCAAAAACGAAAAGAAAATACACAGCAAACAGGCGCTTCCAGAAAACAAAGCCAGTCAACAGTTTAGATTCAGAACTTATTCCTCGGACAGTTCTAGTGTTTCACGGGCAGTGAGGAAGACTCCAGGCCTTCTAGCTGAACTTAATTAAGACTACTTACTTTTAGAACCCCCAGCTCCCTGGACCTTAGGAATCCAGGAGTCCTCATTCACAGCTCTCTCCTCCTGTAGGATGTTAAAATCCAGCCCTGCCCTCCTCCACCCTCCAATCTCCAGAGCAATCAGGATCTTCCAACACTATGGCTCTCGCCCATCCTACTTGTTTATTCACTTTTTAGTGCTTGGGATGGGACCCAAAGCCTCTTGTGTGCTTGCTTGGCAAGTGCTCTCCCGCTGAGCTGCATCCCTAGCCTTCTCTTTACTTCCCGTTTTGAGACAGAACTTTATGAAATTGCCCAGGCTGGATTGAGTCTCATGATGTAGCCCGGCTGGCCTTGCACTTACAATCCTCCTGCCTCAAACTCCCCAGTATGGTTGCAGTCCTCTACGCCCAGGCCTCAACTGGCTCAGCCCATTGTCTCCAGCCCTTAGAGCAGTGCAGATTGTGAATGTCGGGTGAAATTTCCCATGTCCATCCTGGGTCCTGTTCTGCCCCTGGCAGCCTCCCTTGAGTCCTGGAGGCTCTCCTCCACCCATGCTTTCTTATCTTCCTCCCCACCAGGTCGGGAGAAGGGTCGCTGTGTGGCTTCCGAGTACTTTCTTGAACCAGAGATCAACTTGGTGACGGAAAACACGGAGAATATTCTGAGTGAGGGGGAGCAGGGAAGGGGCCCAGGCAACAAGAGGGTTTGGGGAGAAAGGACAGGATTAGGTAGGAAAGGGGTGGGTTCACACAAAGGGCAGAGGGTTGAAAGAAGAAAGAGTTTTGGGAGAGAAGAAGGCAAATGGAGATATCTTGGCTGGGACAGGGAGGGATCTGCATGAGAGGAGTCGGGGTGAACCAAGGGGACGGTTTGGTTGAGAGTGGAGAGAGCAGAGACACAGCTAACAACGGGGTGTAATAGGTGGGAAAGGGGAGATGCTAAAGGGCAGACAAGGGAAGGGCATGGGGAGGTGCCTCCCTGGAGACTCGTCCCTCACCCCTGCTTCTCCTTGTCCACCTCCCCCAGAGACAGTGCGCACGGCTACTCCCTTCCCTATGGTCAGTCTCTTCCTTGTGTTCACCGCTTTCGTCATCAGCAACATCGGCCACATCCGACCTCAGAGGACCATTCTGGCCTTTGTGTCCGGCATCTTCTTCATTTTATCAGGTGAGTCCAAGAAACTGTGGGCTGCGGCAGGGGTGAGGAGGGTGAGAGATTGTTTGGACTTCCAGGAGCTAGGGAGGGACCTTCTTCCACTGAGTGGTTTATTCGCTGTGCCCTAGGAGGCGTGCTTGTAGGACCTCTGTGTGAAGTCGAGATAGCATAGTGCCCGTGCACTGTGTTGTTTAGTGGGCTAAACTGTAGGTACCTGCTTAATTAGGTGCCAGGCTCTGTTCTGAGAGAAGCCCATGGGGTGAGGGCTATTAATAGCCCCATTTTATAGATATGGAAGGAACCAGTCAGAGGGATGAAGCCATTTGCTCGGGGCCAAAAGAGTGAGGGGCAGAGCTGGGAATCAAACTCACGTAATTCGCCTCCAGAAGTTGTATTTTTAGCCAGCACTGTTATTTTAGCAATTAGCAGTTTACAGAGCTCTTTATTTTGGGTGCAACATTTTATTATTTTAATTTTTTTCCACAAACAAACAGACAAGAGTTTCACAGTGAGCAACATGGGCCTGTCAATTCCAGTCAATTAATGATCTGTTACTGGGTTTATATTTTCCTTTCTCTGTACCTCTGCCTCTGTCTTTCTGTCCTCTCATCCCACCCTCTTCCTTTTTCTTCCCTTGCTTCCCCTCCTCCCCCCTTCTCTTCTCTTTCTTTATTCTTCCTTCTGCATTCTGGGAAACAGGGTCTCAAATAGCTCAGGCTGACTTTAAATTCATTGTGTAGCTGAGCGTGACCTTGAACTTCTGAGCCTCCTGCCTCCATCTTCCGTGCACTAGCAGTACAGGCACATGCCATCATGCCCGGTTTATATGATGCTGGAGATGAAACCCAGGGTCACATGCACCCGGGCAAGCACTGTACCGTCTGAGCTATATCCAAGCCCTTTATCTAAGCTGTCTATCTGCCTATCTATGTATCTATCTATGTACCTATCAATCTATCTATCATCTATGTCTGTCTGTATCTGTCTGTCTACTATCTGTCTGTCTGTCTATCTATCTATCTATCTATCTATCTATCTATCTATCTATCTATCTATCTATCATCTACCCACCTACCTACCTATCTATCTCATTTTTTTAAAGCATTTCAAGGTGTATTTCTGGTGCCCCTCACCACCAGCACTTCACAGTGCATTCCATTAGCTGGAGCGCAGGTTTCATCTGCACCTCCCTCTGTCTTCTGAGGTGCAAGGCTCTTTATCTTTAGCGTGTGTGATCTCACACTCCCTCCTCTAAAAACTCCATGGGGCATTGTTAGCAGTCACCTGATGAAGTAAAGGTTCTAAGATCCATACACCCAAGTCACCGGTGCATACTGCTTCCGGATGATGCCAGTGTCCAGAGATCCAAGCGGCATTCTTTGGGGAGTCTTAGCTTTCCAGCTCTGTCCAATCCAGTTCAATCCAGATCAGCTTACTGTAGCTCCAGTATACTTCATCCCATCAGTCCAGTCCAACTAACCCCGATTCATTCTGACTTATTTCTCCAACCTAATCCAAATTAATTCACCATTTCTTAATTTAACTCAAACCAGATTCTTCCATTTGACTGGTATTTTTGTGTGTGTGTGTGTGTGTGTGTGTGTGTGTGTGTGTGTTATGCATGTGCACCCATGCACCTGTGAGTGTACATGCAGAGGCCAGAGCAGGATGCTGGGTGTCCTCCTTCAGTCAGTCTCTGTCGTTTTGCCTTGATAAAGGCTATATTCCTACCTGGGAAGCTCACCATTTCGGTTAGACTGGTTTCAGTGTGGTCACAGGATCTGCTTGTCTCTGCCCCCACTCCCCAATGCTAGGGTTACAAACATGGGTAGCCACATCCTGCTTTGTACATGGGTGCTAGAGATTCGAACTCAGGTCCACATGCTTGAACACCAGGCACTCTTCTCCACTGAGACGTCTCCAAAGCCCCTTGAACTGATGTTTTCTATATACACACACACATGCACACAACCTATGGTGTTTCTCCTTCACTCTGCTCCCCACAGCCTATGAGTGGGTCCATCTTTACAGTTCACTGTGTTACAGAAAGATATCCCTGCTCCTCTCCCAGCTCTCTGGAGGCCAGACCTTCCCCCAAGCCTTCACCCTAACCTGAGGAGACCTTTTCCAGGGAAAGCAGGGTGCAGCCTCCGTGCAGACTCAAATCACGGCGTTGGAGCCAGACACCGAGCTAAAATAAGACATGTTGGATATCACGATCCCAGAGTGTCAGAGCAGAAAGGGCGCATCATTTCTGAGATGGAAAAATAGTAGCCTAGAGAGAGAAAGTGGGGCAAGAGTGGATCCCATGGGGACTTTTATTCAATCTGTCCAGTACGTTGTGTATCAAGTCCCACTGTTTGCAGATCACAGGAATGGAACCGGTCGAATCAGCCAGTCAATGGCAGAGCTAGGCTTTGAACCAAGAGAATTCTGATTCTAAAATCCACCCTCCAAGCACTGAACCAGTAACTGTCTGCCCAAGGTCAAACCACAGATTAATGATTCCTTTGGGGCTGGAAGTCAGAGCCGTGTGTGTGTGTGTGTGTGTGTGTGTGTGTGTGTGTGTGTGTGTGTGTGTTGGTGGTGTTCTAGTTTGATTTCTTCTGCCGTGACAAAACACACAGACCAAAAATAACTTAGAGGAAGAAAGGGTTTATTTGGCTTAACAATTCCTGCTTACAGTCCACCACTTCAAGAAAAGCAAGGCAGGAGCCCAAGCAGCCGGGCATATCACATCCACAGTCAAGAGCAGAGAAAAATGAACACACCCATGCTGCCTGCTTGCTTTCTCAGCCAGTGTCTTCTACTGTCATATAGCTCGGGGCCCAGCCCATGAAACGGTACCGCCTACACGCAGGATGGCCCTTCCCACCTCAATTAATATTCCAACCATTCTTCCCACACCCCCCAGATGTTTGCTTAGGCCGGCCCGATCTTGATAATTCTTCATTAAAACTTCCTTCCTCCCCGGGCTAGAGAGAGGGCTGCGAAGTTAAGAGCTCTTCATTCTTCTCCCAGAAGATCTGAGTTTGGTTTTCAACACCCGCATCGAGTGGCTCACAAGCCCCTGCGGCCTCTCCTCCCCACCAATTCCAGCTCTGTAGGATCTAACGCCCTCTTCTGGCCTGCATGGGCCAGAAGACACATGCTTACATTTTTTAAAAAAAGTATCTAAGAATGTTCTCTTCCGTGCATGCACATAGGAGGGGCTTAGAGAAGCTTTTTCTATGGAGGCCTGACTGGCCTAAAACTCATGGCGATCCACCTCCCTCAGCCTCCCTAGGACTGGGATTCTAGGTGTGAACCACCACGTCTTGACTGAATCTCTTTTCTTGAATTCATTGAGTAGATTTTGATGTGTTTACTCTACCGGGGTGTTTGCTCATGTGCTTTCAAGCTTGTAGGGTTGTATAGCCGAGCCACATATTGTAAACCCAGAGAGATGTGGGTTCAAACCCCTCACTGCCTGGAGGAGCTCACTCTGAGGGATGAGAGAACAGTTTCCAGGAAGGAAATAATAGGACTTCTCTTCGTGGGTTGTCCGGCTCCACTGCTGTGGGCCTGTGGTGAGGCAGAAGGGGCATGGAAGGAAAAGCACGTGGTTTGTGCTGGGGCCACAGCTCAGCTGGGGAAGTGGTACCTTGTAAGACTGAGGGCCTGAACTGGGATCCACAACACCATATTAAAAACAAAAACAAAGAACCAGTACGTATGGCAGTGCATGCCTGGAACCCTATCACTGGGGAGGTGGAGACAGGTGGTCCCTCAACCTCATTGATTTAGTTGAATAATGAGCTTAGTTCAGTGAGAGACTCTGCCTCAAAGAATAGGGTGGGGAGTGATTGGGGACCTCCCACCCCCACCCTGTTCTTTCTCTGTCCTTTAAGAAATTTTTAAAAATATTTTTAAGTATGTGTGTATGTGTATCTGTACGGGGGTATGTGTACATGAGTGTGCACACATCTGTGAAGGACAGAAGAAGGTGTCAGATCCCCTGGAGCTGAAGTTACAGGAGCTTGTGAGCTGCCCGATATGAGTGCTGAGACTGAATCTGGGTCCTCTGCTAGAGCAGTACACACTCATAATAACTGAGCTATCTGTCCATCCCCTGTGTGTACATCTGAACACACACACACACACCCCTCACCACCATCATAAACACCAAGTGTTGAGTTGGACAAAGTTGGAAGAAAACAGAGACAGTGAATGAGGACCAGGCCAGGACAAAATATATCTAAGGACATACCCTCAAGTCATCTACTTCTTTCAGATAAGTCTCACTTCCTACAATTTCCAGAACCTTCCAAAATCACACCACCAGCTGGGGAACAAACTTTCCATATATGAGCCTGTGGGGGTACATTTCATATTCAAATCATAAAGTGTCGTGGAATATTCCTCTCTCTCTCTCTCTCTCTCTTTTTTCTACCAGAAAGTTAAAAATGTAAAAATGTAAAGCCCATCCTTAGCCTGCAAACCATACAAAATCCAGCCAGCTGGTGGTGGCGCATGCCTTTAAACCCAGCACTCGGGAGGCGGAGGCAGGTGGATCTCTGTGAGTTGGAGGTCAGCCTGGTCTACAGATCTAGTTCTAGGAAAGCCAAGACTACACAAAGAAACCCTGTCTTGAAAAACAAACAAACAATAGACAGAAAAAGAAGAATTGCAGGTGTTTGAAACCCGATCCCAGTCATGGGCATGACATGTAACAATAAGTGTTCAACTGTATGTAGTAAAGCAGGTAGATGAGTGAGCAAAGGCTGTAGTCGTAGCTCATTGGTAGACTGTTTGTGTAGCATACACAAAGTCCTTGTTCAGTCCTCAGCATCCCATGAACAAAGAGGTGGTGCATACCTGTAATCCCAGCCCTAGGGAGGTGGAGGCAGGAGCGTCACATGTTTAAGGCCATTTATATCTGCAAAATGAGTTCAAGGCCACCTTGGGCTACATGAATCCCTGTCTCAAAAAAATTGAAACAGAATAAATCGGAAATCAATGGATGAATAAAT